AATGAGAAGTTAGTAAACAGTGAAACTGAAATCTTCATTCAAAGTCTAAGTAATAGTTGGATTGATTAGTAGTCATTTTTAGACCTTCCATCTTAACGTTTTATTTACTCCATTCTCATGTGTGCCTTTGTCATGTTTTTGTTTGTTGTTTGAGGTGCTGAAAGTTGAACCCAGGGCTTTGCATATGCTAAAGAATGCTTAACCATTCAACTATATGTCCAGACTTCCTCCTCGTTTTTTAAAATTTGAGACAGGGTCTTACTAAGTTGTGGTTGGCCTTGAACTTGCTATGCTACACAGGCTAGCCTTGAACTTGTGATTTTCCTGCCTTGGCCTCCAGAGTAGGTGGAATTACAGGCATGTGCCTTAACAGCCTGACTTATCTGTGCCTCTGAAAAAGAAAAGAAACCACTTGAGAGTAAATGAAATTGTAATTTGGATTTCTACTTCCCACCTCATTTCCCCTCCCTTCTCCATTGAGTTCCTTTTTCATTTTAAAAAGAAACCTGGCGTTAGAATGTAACCATAAGAACTAATGGTTACAGTGCAACAGAAACAGTGGGACATGCCCACAGTAACAATTTAGGAGTTAGGAACTTGAACTATCCCAGGGTTCCACATTCTGAAAAATGGGAACAAATAAAAAGTTGCCTTGCTGGGTATAGTGGGACAAGCTCAGTCCCAGGACTCTGGGGGCTGAGGCTGGAGGATGGGTTCCAGGACAGCTGGGCTACATAGTGAATTTGAGGCCAGACTGGGTTATATCATGAGACCCTGACTCAGAAAACAAAAACAAAACAAAACAACAAAAATAGAAACAGCTGTGTGATAGGACTGCAGCTAGAATCATCAAATGAGATCATGCAATGTACCAGGCACTGGCTAACCAGGAAAGAGAGCTACAGACAGGAGAATGATATAGGAAGGGTGAACTTGCCATTATCACAGTTTTACCAAGAGGACAAGTTCAGTTTATGGAGACATTCTGAACCAGAGCCCTCTGTACCTGTTGGATACTTTGTTAAATGATGCAGGAGAATAACCCTATATAGCCAGTGTTAAACCATTCCCCTCTTTGAAAGTTCATAAACATTGAAAGTAGGTAAGAAATGACACTGTGGATGCTAAGTCCCAGATAAGACAATACTGTGTTAAATGAACTACACAGAGATTAATCTGAAACTGGACTCTGATCCCAAGTGAACTGGCCAGTGTAGCCCAGTCTTTACTGGCTCTGCAGAGGAAAAACAAGCCTATGTCTATCTCAACTGTGATCTGAATGGGTATGAGCTAAGCTTTGAACAGTGCCTAAGCTCATTTCAGATGCATAATATGTGTTAACAGTACTAAGCTAGGAGCTTTGAGCTGAGGCGTGCACCCTGATTCAAAGGAACTGAGGAGGGCATTTAAAGATCTGGCTTTATGATCCGCCTTTCTCTACTCCCACTTCAGACAACTTCCTGTTCTATTGGATCTCTCTCAAATAATTAAACAAGTAAATAAATTATTTA